CCACCATCAGCAAACTCCAACCTTGCTCGTGCCTGCGGACCTTCCGGAGGAGGTGAAGGGTCGCAGTGCCTGTATCCTTTCCACACTGGGTGGTGCCCAGCAGAGCCTGTGGCTCTGGTGGCAGGCTGCCCTGGCAAAGCGCTGGCGGTGCTCACGAGGCGAGGCTTGGCACACTCCCTGGCACGCAGTTGTGGCTGGCACCAGCCTGGGCTCTGCTATCCCTCCTCTCTCTTCTCTGGCCAGCATGCCCAGATCCACCTCTTCCTGAAGGCCCAGCTCACGGCTATGCCCGCAGATACTTCCCAGACACCTCCCATCCCCCATGCAGTCTAGCCTGGCTGTTCATGGGGTGGGACCCAGAGGGGCAAAAGTGTGCAGCGAGTCAGCTCAGCACCCCTAGTGCCTCCTCCCAGCCCAGCCCCTCAACATTCCTGCTCCAGCCTCTGCCTGTTGGAGCCTTAGGCTCCCTGCCCAGCCCTTGGACTCCTGTGAGTTCTCCAGGCGCCTACCCCTTGGCATGGGATGACTCCTGGGACACCAAGAGGCCTGACCCCAAAGCAGCCTCTGGTATGAACTATTAAGCCCTGTGCCCCGCAGCTGCAGACCCCTCCTGCCCTGGGGCAGTGGGTGGGCCTTCCTACCTCCCCAAGCTTCAGTTACTACTCTGCACAAATGGAGGGACAAGGGCCAGCCTCAGAGGGCCACGGGGGAATCACATCTCTGTGGATGTCACAGAAACTGAGGGTTGTGCTGACAACCTGCTCTGGTCCTCAGGTCCTCAAAGGACCTGAGTCCTGGCCAAGGTCAGGGGCCAGATCAGAAGAGCTACACTTAATGGGCCAAAGTAGGCAGTGAACAGCAGCCTGGTTGCTCCCTGTATCCTGCGTCCCCGTGGGGGTAAGCAAGCTGTGGAACAGAGGGGCAGCATGCCTGGAGGACCAGGGGCGTCAGTGGCTTGGTGAGGTTGACTCCTCAGTCCCTGAGAACCAAGTCTGAGGAAACCAGGCTATGCCAGGGCAGAGGCGCTTCCCCCCACCCTGCAGGGCAGGATCCTACTCGGGGAGCCTAGTCCAGGTACACCCATCCCACGCTCACCCCAAGAGAGCCAGCTTCTGCCTCTCTGCTGCTTTCTCCTTCCTTGGGGCCTCTTTTCCTTCCTCCTCTCCTCCACCATCATCTCTTTCTGTGGACTCTGCACTACTCACAACCAACCCTGTTCCCTTCACTTTGTCTCCATTTTTCATCCAAGGACCAGGAGAGGAGCAGGTCCAGCCAGTGCCAATACCAACCCAACTCAGCCTCTTTGGGTCTTGGTATCAATTTGCCAAGGGTGGTGACAACAGAAGACTTTCCTCCCAGCGGCAGTGGCACCAGGGACCACGCATCCCCTGCTTCTTGCGCCATGGCCTGCTCCTCTGCCATTCCTCTAGATCCTCCTTCTGCCTCCTCACTGCTGGTGCTCTGCCCCTTACCTTCCCATCCTTGGTCTGCTTGTCCTCTCATTTTTCTCACGTTTCCTTTCCCACCAAGTAGGGCACAGCCTTAAGAGGGACCTCTTAGACCCCTAGAGCCCTGGCACCCTGGCTCCTGGGCACCAGCATCTCCAGCTTGGGCACCTTCTTGCCTGTCTTGGTCATTCGCTGACCTCGTAGCCACATTGTCACTCCTCCAGGCAGCATCCTCCACATCAGTCCCACCAGAAGAGGTCTAAGCTCTGACCCTACTCAGCCCCCAGCTGGGGGCTGAACACCACCCCTTCCTCCCTGCTCCCAATCCCAGGCCATAGAAGATTCCAAATCCCCAAGCCCTCCCCCAACCCCTGACAACCCCTGTGCCCACCTGCCCTCTGGAGACCTCCGTAGTCAGCCCCAGCCATGGTCCTCTGCTGAGCCACTCTGAGACGGATGAAATGTCTCTAAGGCAGCACCCCGCCAGGCATGCCAGCCCTCAGGGTGCCCCCTTGGGGCTCTGGAAACAGCTTCAGATAGGCAAGTGCCTGGGTGCCCAGGGCTTCCTGGTCGCTCCTTGCTGCCCGACTGCCCAGCTCTGATCTGCCGGCTGGGACTGGAGCCGGAACCTCCGTCCTCTGGGCTCTGGCCCTGACACCCTGCCCAGGGGGCTGGGCCACTTGGTCCCTGTACCCCCTGCTGCTGGCTCTGGGCAGGATAGGCTCTGGCCAATAGACTCCTGAGCCTGTAGCATGCTGCCCACCAGATGCCCAGACTTGCCAGGGTGGGGGCTACCCCACCCTCAGGATCTTGGGCCTGGATGGGCCTGCTGGCCACGCCCCCTTGGACACGGTGGCCCGGAGACCTAGCTTCCCCACCCCTAGAGGCTAGCCCAACAGGCCACCATCCTCGTTCCCTGTCCTGCTGGCCTCACTGGAATCCCCAGAGTCCCCTGGGCTAGGTGCCAGGGTTGATGCCTGCCTGAGGGCCTTAAAGCTATGGATACAGACTGTGTGCCTGGGTCCATCAGGACATAAGGCTCCTGTCACCCAGAGAGCCTCTACTGAGGGGTAGGCACAGGGTGGGGGCCAAGTGCCAGACAGAGTCTGCAGTGCAGCCTCTTGGCTCGGTGCCAGCTACAAGGTGTTTTGGCCACCTTACCCCCTTTACAAAGACCACTTCTCTGGGGGTCACTGAGCCAGAAGAATGGCCAAAAGTCTGGGCGAGCTCTGGGATGGGGAAGTTACTTTGGGTCTCTTGATCACCTTTAACCCAGGCTGGCCTAAGAGGTGCCTGACAGGGCCGGATTCACCAGGGACAAGCAGGAGGATTATGGGGTGAGACAGATGCCCCACACCTGGAAGGGGAAGAGATTGGCACTTAGCAGGCGTGCCGGCCCCTGGATCTGCCCTGTTAGCCTAAAGTCGGTGCCTGCAGAGGCTGGGAACAGCTTAGAAGAAGTCCTGCCAGGTGACTCCAGGCTGAGCTCCTGCTCACACCCAGATTTAGGCAAGGAGAGTAGGCAGGTGGAAGTTACTGGGCCACAGCATCCTTTTAGTGAGCTTCAGTTGATTTTGATTTCCACCTGGCTGCTGCTGGCGCCCAGCAGGCCCTTCTGGAGCAAGTCTTGGAAAGGATGGGTGGGGCCCTGTGCCCTGGCATGGAGCAAGTCCAAGTCCCCAAGAGAGAGGTCTGGAGAGAAGGGGTGGATGTGAGAAGCAGCTCACCAACTCCTACAAGTGGCTGTTGCTTAACCTCCCTGGGCCTGGCTTTCTCATCTGCCTGACAGGGACATGGTTTGCTCAGCTGTCTGCTGGAGCTGGGGGGATACGAGAATCGTGGCATGCTACAGAGATGAGAACTATGATCATGGAGCATGGGTAGGAGACGTTACTGCCCCCGATGGTAGCACATGCATACATGGGTGGATGTATGTGGGAGTCTGCCCTGGGTCCAGGGCTGGGCTCCTCGGGGCTGTGCCTCATTACATGCTTCTCAGCATCCCCTCGCAATGCTCACTCCAGCCCACCACTGCAGACAGACGTGCTTTCCTTGGCCTCCACAGGGCCTTGCTATGCTCCCTGCCTCCCTCTTATGCTCAATGTGTCAGTTCCTCCTGCCTCTGCCCACTGCTGGCCAGCAACTTGTCTGCCTCCGCCCCAGTCCAACTGCACCCAAGGTCAGGCTGGGGCATAGAGGGCATAGAGCACAGCCAAAGATCCAGCTGGATGGTGCTTGTGGCCAGAGCATAGCATGCAGCCACACAGCCAGGCCCGTGTGACTTCTGTCAACACCCAGGGTACACTGCTCTTTGCTCCTAGGCCTCAGTGTCCCCATTTGTTAGTGTCACTGGTCTGATGCCAGTCGCTCAATTTCCAGGCCACAGAGCTCTCCAGAGGACAAGGAGCAGAGACTGGGGACATATCCCACAGGGAAGGGAGTTGGGAAGTGAGGGTCCAGGGCAGCCTGAAGGAGCTGAGCCATTGTGGTGCAGGAGGAGGGGCTCAGGGGGTCCAGGGCAAATGGGGCTTCCTGCCAGCATGGAAACCCAGTCCTGGGCCAGGTCCATTCAAGGGTGAGAACTTGGAGAAGTCCATCTGTCTGCACCTGCAAGGATCCAACAAGCAGAAGCTGGTGTACCACAGCCCAGGCAGACCCTGTTCAGCAGACCCCTGTATCCCTATCTGTAGTGCCTAGGCTCACCACAGAGCACAAGGGCTGCAGCACAAGGGCTGCTGAGAGACGCTTGGTCCAGAACAAGCCAGGGAAGAAAGTACATCATGCAGGCAAAGAAGAATGGCTCCTCCAGCCAGGGAGAGCCACAGCAGTCTTCCTGGAGGAGGCGGCATTGTGGTCCGGAAGGTTGAGGAGTAGGAAGGGCAATGAGGTGACACAGAGCAGCTGACTGGGGGGCGGTGGCTCTGAGCCCACCTTGTCTGCAAGCTGAGAGGCCTCAGGGCCCTTGGTGTCTCTGTGCTGTCACCAGGACCCTGCCAGGAGAGTGCCACCACACTGTACTTTACAGAGGGAAAAGTAGGCCCACAGAGAACTCTGCACCAGCTCAGTCAGCAGCCAGCAATCCAGAATTCCAAGGCCCGAACACTGCCACACAGGCCTGGATGCCAAGGGTGGCTGGTGGATGTGGCTCCGAGTCCAGCGCCATTGTCTGTAAAACAGAGTGACTGACGGTGCCTGCAGCCAGCAGCAAGCCTCCCTGAGGCCCTGTTCTCTGTTCCAGGGATGGTGAAGGCTGTGGACACAGACAACCACGCAGGTCGGAGAAGGAGGAGGAGGAAGAGGAATAGAAGGAAGAGGAGGAGGAAGAGGAGGAGGAGGAAGAGGAAGAGGAGGAAGAGGATGCACTGCCGGGGCCAAGGGAGGCGAAGGCCTCAAGCTCCAGCGCACGCGCTCACCTCTGGCTTGGCACCCTCGGGGCCTGAAACGGGCAGGAGCAAGGCCGAGGCTGGAGCAGCCCCACATCCACAGGCCCAGCTCAGCAGGCCCAGCCCAGGGCAGTGGGTGGCCCTTGCCCTGGGCCAGGTGGGGACCTACCTCAGGAGCTGCTCCAGGCCCCGTCTGCTAGAATTCCTCCTCAGGAGCACCGAGCCGCTCATGCTGCTGGCCGCTGGCCGGGTGGCCAGTGACCTGGCCTGACCCCCACCCTGGGGATGCGGCCTCCTTCAAAGGCTGCTCCTGTCTTGCTGCTGCTGCCTTCAACCCTCCTCCTCTGCTCTTTTCCTTTCTTTCCTCTCCCTTCTTTCTCTTGCCCTCTCTTCTCCCTTCCCCTCTCCTCCCCTGCCCTTGCTCTCTGTGCTTCTGCCCCCCTCTGTGCCTGACTGTCTGGTCTCTCTGGCTCTGATGCCCCCTCCCTGCCTCCTCTGTCTGGCTGTCTGATGGGTGTCTGTCTATCTCTGTGACCTTCTGTCTACCAGTCTTGACCTCCTGGCCCTTGAGGTGGGGGTCTCAGGCTAGCTCCCAGCTGGCGCCCTGAAGCCTGTCCACTGTCCCCGGGCCCTGCCTCTGTGGTTCTCGCTCCCCTCTCCTTCCTCAGGACGCTTTGCAGCTGCTTCCCTTTTGTTCCCCCAACCCCCTTCTCCGCCCCCCTTGGTCTCCTCCACCTCCACCTCCTCCTTCCGAGACTAGTAAAAATGTCAGAGAGAAAACCCTCCCAGCCCAGCAGCATAGGGACTCACTGGACCTCTGTGGCCGCTGGTGGGCAGCATGGCTGCCTCTTCCCTCCCTCCCTCCCCGCCTCCTCTTCCCCTTCCCCTCCCTCCCTCAGCCACCTTGGCAGCCTGCACCTCCCCTGCCCACCACGTGGCTGCCTCCCATCTCTCCAGTACCCAGTCCCCGCCAGGCCTGGCCTTCATGCTGGCCTTCTCCTTCCGGCCTAACACTCCTGCCTGCCTCCTCGCTCTTTCCCAGGTCTGTCCTCTGCCCCTCTTCTCCCTGCAGACTTCTCACCCTATCTGTCTCCTCAGTCCTCCCTTCCCCATCTCTTCCTCCACGTCTCCATTTTGCACTTGTTTATTCCCAGTCCTCTGCTCCTGCTATCACCCCAAGGGGAGGTTGGGCACATTAGGAATCTTCTCGGCCCCCAAATGGGAAGGCTGACTCCCCACCCCCAGCACCCCTGAGCTGCACACAGAGCAAGTAGACCTGAAGCAAGGTGCACACACACACATCTCCCCTTTGGTCTCCATGGTCCACAGAAGTAGCCGTGGGCACTGGGCTGGCTGGTGCCCTGGCCAGCTGGGCCCCCCTTGCCCTGTGCTCTGGCAAAGGCAAGAGAAGGAAGAAGCAGCCCAGCCCAATGTTGTTCTGGTTGGGCTTAGTCACTGTGACTCACTGGAGAACACAGGGGCTAGTGGCTGGACAAGGGGAGGAACCAGACCCACATTTGAGGGGACACAGCCTCTGAGAGACTGGCATCACTGCATCCAAGTACCAGACAGGAAAACCCAGGCTCAGTTAGCATCCTGGTATCCAAGGTCACAGAGTCAGAGCCTGGGCCTGCTGACTGCTGGACCCCCAGCACTGCCCCACTACATCTCTGTGTGTGCAGCCAGCCAGCTTTCAGCATCTCTGTCCCCGCGTCACCGAGACTGTACCCTCTCCCATGCTCAGCAAGTGTAATCTGTGGCTGGGTGCACCATAAGGGCCACGGGACATTGAAGAACACTGAGTGGACCACGGACAAGGTCAAGATAAGGTAGATGAGTGGGTGAACATACAAGATGAGTCATCGTGGGAAGGCAGTGTGCAGCGGAAGTAGGAGCAAAGACTGGAAAATTCCACTGAGGCCAGTTCCACAAGGGTCCATTATTACTCGGGTCTGCAATGATGAGTAAGGTGGTGGGCAGTGGATGGAGACTGCCAGGGTCAGGAAATCTGCTGCACCCCAACACAGCAGTCTTGATCCCAAGGCCAGTTTTGAGGAAGGAGGTCACAGCATCTCCCCTCCCTCTGCACCAGCCCAGAAGCCAAAGGATGGCAGGCATCCAGCAGAGATGGCTCCATCCACTGCCGAGCCCCAGCATCAAAGAGCCGTGGGGACCTCAGGATCTAACGAAACTCAGGCAGGGAGAAAGCAGTGCCGGGGCTCAGACTGATCCCACCATTAGTAGATCACCCAGCAGAATCTAGGTCGCCAGCCACAGACTGCCAGCAATAAAATGCAGCCAAGGAAATTTTGGTTCAAAAGGAAGAATATTGCCCCCGACAGGCAGACTGCTTGGGGATGACTTCAGTTCTGTCACTAGAGAAAGGGTGGCTGTCAGACTTGGTGACAGGTAGAAAGTGGCAAGAACAGATTTCTAAAAGTAGTGGCCAAGATTCACGGTTTTACAACTAGGACATGTTCTAATAGAATGAATGGGGTTGAATTTTAAAACCAGCTTTACTATTATTTGCCTGTCCATCCATCCATCCATTTCTCCATGTATCCACCCATTCATTCATCCCTTGCCTCTATCCTCTATGATGCCTGTCTTTGTATGTATTATTTATAACTCTCTGAATTCCTTACATACTTATCTATTCATATATATGTATATATGTTATTATTTTAAAGAGAAAAAAATAAAACAAAGTTTTAAAACAAGACAGGAGAGTCACAATGGTTAATACACCATGTATTGTTATCTTTCAATCAATTACTCTAGTATATAAGATATCAGCATTTAATTGTCCAACAATACTAGCACAAATATATAAGCTTTAATACAGCCTTCCAGTCAATCAATTCAAGCACATACACATATGTCCACATACACCCATGCCACCCATCCCTCTTTACATTAGTTGCAAGAGTCCACCCATCTCTCCATCCTCTTATCTCAATGGCAATATGTACAAAACGTTTTGAGCAGTCAGCAAGCCATTGATCTACGGGCGACACAATAACTACTCATGACGTCTTCATTACTATTACTATTTTCACCTATTAATTTCTGTGTCTACCTATGATGCTTTTTTTTTTTCTCAGACCTGGGGATTGAACTCAGACCCTTGTGCTTGACAGGGAAGTGCTTATTCCACTGAGCCAATCTCTCCAGCCCTATGATGCTTTCTTTAATACATGCTTTAGTCTCCGGTCTTCTGTCTTTATTTCCTTCCATGTGCCCAAATGTTTCACTTTCCCATGCCATTTGTGTTTCCCTTCCTGCATTTGTTTATCTGTTCACTTGCTTACTGATATTTCCTCCTAGCGAGACACTCATCCAATCAAGCCCACACATCTGTGTGCATCTTTCTGAGCACAGAGTCATCCAAGTGAGTTAAGACTTAAAATAGTTACAGAAATATCAGCCTCAGCCAATGTCATTTATCTCTTCCTTCTATCCATTCGCTCATCCCACCACTCTTCCATTTATTTATTCATATGTTTGTCCATCCACTGATCCACACAATTATTCAACAAATTGGTACCAAGTTCCAGGCACTTTTAAGGTGCTCTGGACTCAACATTAACAAAGTTTGTACTTTCTTTTTTTTTTTTTAATTTTTATTTATTTATTTATTTATTTATTTATTTATTTATGTATTTTGTGTGTGTGTGGCCAGTTCAGCCCACCAGGGGGCGGGGCTGGTTGGCATGTGGTGCTGGGGATTGAACCGCGGTCCCTGTGCTTTGCTTAGCTTAGTTTGTTCTAAGTAGGTGCTTTAGACCACTGAGCCATCTCACCAGCCCAGTTTGTACTTTCTTGATGCTGGCATTTTAGCGAAAACAAAAAAATACTATACTATAGTGCACATACTATAATGTATCAGATGATAGTAAGTGCTACAGAAAGTAAAATCCAAGGGGAGATGATAAGGTAATGCCTGTAGAGAATTAATATTTTGTGTTTGCTAGTGAAGAAGAGTCTCATGAGAAGAATAAGCATTTTCTTGAAGAGTTTAGAGGAGGAAGGGATAGAGACAAGAAGGAAAAGGAGGAGGAAGAGAAGGAGAAGGAGAAAGAGGAGAAGGAGGAGAAGAAGAAGGAGAAGGAGAAAAGAAGGAGAAGGAGAAGGAGAAGAAGAAGGAAAGGAGAAGGAGGAGGAGGAGAAGGAGAAGGAGAAGGAGAAGAAGAAGAAGAAGAAGAAGAAGAAGAAGAAGAAGAAGAAGAAGAAGAAGAAGAA